CGTGTGCATCCTACATATGAAATTACTCTGGATGGACACTTGTCCAGCACCTGGTCGCCACTGCCCATCCAAAGGTCGTGGTCATCATCAGAGGCGACACCTTTGGCTGCTGAGTTTGCACTTTGGACGCTGTCGGCGTTTGAAAGACTCCCAAATGGCCGAGGCTGAGTGGTTTTTATGGACGCGACCCCTCCTCTTGACTGCCTGGCAGGGTGATGTTTTTGGACAAATTGAAGTTGTGTGTTTATGTTTCGGTTCATCGATTGACCGGACCCTCTTACACCGCCCCAGCCACGCCCCCTAAAGGGACGTTTATCAGCGACAGGAAACAGAAATGCTGTCATGCATAAACCACTCGAATGCATTGATGCATTTCCGCTGCACAATCAAATTACAAATATTTACTCTTTTTATCTAAACGCAAAATTGAAAAATGAATCTGGGCACGTGCCAAAATCCATGAATTTGGTGTGCATCCTCATTCGATTTCAGTTTTCGAAAATCCGAGATTTTTATTTGCATTTCCGGTGGCATTAGAATTTCTCTGCCCTCTGTGCTGATCGATTGCATGTAAAATTTCAAACCCTTGTCGCAATTTAATATAAATAAGTGCAATAAAAAGGAGGCCACATATCGACTCTTTTAGTAATTGCCCTAAAAAGTAGGCTATGCAGGTGTGTTTTGAGTAAAAATATTTTGGATCATTATTTCAATTCTCAAAAATAGAATTTCTTCAATTTAAATATAACCTTTTCTAAGGCCACACAATATTTAAACACCTCTATTAATGTTTCTATGAAACTTATCTTCTATTCACTGCTAAAATCGTCAAGTAAAATATTCGCGTATATTTCTATTTAAATTAAAAGGCTGACATCAATAGTAAGCTGTAAGTATTCAACTCTTGTATTCCAATTAAGCCATCGCCATCAACCCTTGACCAAAATCCAACAACCCTTCTTGGGTTGACAGCCATTCAGCGTCGGAACAAGGACTTTAACTTTTAAAAGCTTCAAAAAATTTCAACATTTTTATTATGTCAAAGGGACATGCTCACATGAATTCATTGAAATATATATTTGTATGTAGCACAGCCGAGCTGACCGCAAATGGAAAGCTTCTTTAGGTCAGCTGCCCTCACTCCGAAAATCAAACCCTTTTAAATGCAAAACGAGAACTAATTTGAATAATTTACTTTCGCCGAATACGGCAAACAGACACTTCAAGAGCAGAAACAACATTAATTAAAATGAATGGCGAAGCGAAAAACTCAAAGGCTCCAAACAAAAAGCACGACTCTTGTAGAACAACCTGTTAATGAGTTGATGTAGCCGTCGGTTCCAGCAGGCTAATTCCCTGGTATCCTGATTAACTTTACACCAAACTCGACCGTTGGCCGTTTAAAGTGGTTCCCCGCTGCACTCTTAATGCAAAACTAATTTGGGACACGGTACACTGCACTAATAGTTTACTCGCTGAAAATAGTTTATTTATTTCTCAAATAAAATATAAATGAAGGTTATTTAATATTTTATATTGGAAAGGTTAATTAAAATTATAAATTGATAAGCCAAAGCAACAATTGCCAAGAAAATGTCAATAAATCGCAAAATATCATAATGTATCCTCACAGGTTATTCAAAAAATGTAAATAAACTATTTTTAAACTTGTTTTAAATATTAAATAAACAACATAAAAAGGAGCCTCGGTAAGATAATATAGCCCTTTTTCTAATTAAAATTCAAAAATAAGATTAAGTTAATAAAACACACGCATACGCATTGTAAACTGCAGATACTTTGTAAGTATTTGTTGCAAGTTGAATGTATTGATAATCTGGAAACAGAGGGTTAAGTATTGTAAGTATTGCTATATATTTGGTTCGGTGTACTCTGGCCAACAGCCACAGCCTGCGGACTGGCACTGCCACAGATTTAGAATTTTTGCTGGCTAGCTGATGCTGGACACAAGGCTTTAATCAACCGCAAACGCAATGGACGATGCAGCTGCTGTTAATTAGCTCTAGTTTGTTCCATGTGAAAAAGCTGGCGAAGCACGCCAAATTTATGCGAGTATATAGTGAAATAAAATGTCACACGTTGTCAGATTATGTGGTCGATTCGGTGAATGTGGCTGCGGCTAATACCAAACCAAAATATGAATAAGCATTCATTAAAATACGAAATTACAATATATAAATACATTTAATGGCATTGTCAGTCAATCAAGAACAAATCAAGCATTAATGATTGCAATAATGAGCTGCCCAATTAACCATGCATAATTAAAAATGCAGATAAGTTAAAATTGTAATTAATATCCCCTTAGATTTGTGATAACGCAATAAAAAGCGTAAAATAAATAAAATATAAAATATATTCGATTCTACAGTTTAAGCTAACATTTTCCTAACTGCCCGCAGTCAATAATCAGATCCAAGTCAAGCAATTAAATACGAATTTATGGTGAACCAATTTTCTGTGGTCAGCTCTTTAAGGCACAATTGAATGAATATATATGTATACCCGGACAAAGGGATATTTGTATATTTGAGGATGCTTTTCTGTGTGTCCATTCAGCTAGGTATACGAGGCGGACCCAAAGCAAAATTAAATTTTGATATGGGTCTATTCATTTGGCAGTCACATGAGACACTCTCAGCAGCTGCCTGGTAATACGGAAAAAAAAATAAAACTTTTGTGACTCCTCTCCGTAACGCAAATGCATGTGAGCCAAACCGAGTAATGCCAGGGTTCTTAGCCACCGATAAAATGAATTTGTTGACACCCCCTCAAGAACCATATACTCGGTTTGAGAACTTTTTTAAATATGCATGAGCACCTTTTTTGCCGTCGGGCCGGTCATACCCGGCGTATACTTGATAACAGAAATCTCCTTTCAACGCCACAGAAAACAATGCCCAGAGCAAGATAAATGGGGTCGGGTCAGTAAGTATAGACTTTATACCGCACTGTCTGACCCAAAATACTTCAGTCAAAGAACCAAATTTATTGCAGCTCTCGGCCAAAAACAAGAGCAGGTAAAGCCTTGAATTACGACTAGTTCAATCCATATAACATCCAAGTCAAAATTGGCCTATTTACCTTTGTCGTCAGCTCAGATGCAGAATGTTTGCTTCTTGTGTCATTTACATCGATGTCCATCAATCAATTCTTGGGTGAAGTGTTTCATTTGCTATTCCTCAAATAAGCCATTTATTAAGAATTTCAAACAGAGTGTTAAACAGCACATATGTACATTTAGTAGAATCAACTTGCGGCACAGTCAGCTTAATGTTAAACTTAAATGGAAAATGTAGCTGACTATTAATTCTCGTTTCTCACATCTGGGCTTTCCCTAGAAAGTAAGCGAAAAAAATGTCCCTTAAATTTAAAAAATAATTGAAATTCTGGATTTGAAAAACATAATTTTATGAACATGTTTATAAACGAGTTTATTTAAAAGTCCATTTTTTTTGTTCAGAAAGAAAATTAGTTTGGTTAATAAAATAGTGATTATTTTATCTAGCTGATTTTTATCAACAGTAAGTTATAAGCTTTACCTAGTATACAAATTTTTCCTATGTGCATGCGTTGGCACAAAAGCTTTTGTATAGTACTCGCATGTCACCTCCTGTCGCCAAACAAATTGAAATTGAACGTGAAAAGGAGCAACTGGTTGGCCACACAGCTAACCAGGCACCGATATATGTCCACCTTTTAGGATATCCTTCCTCCCACTCAGTTTGTCAAGCGGCAATTCCATGCAGCTTCTGCAAGAATTCAAACAAACACAATAGGTATCCCGCTGATTGGCATTCACGAGCTGCACTTTGTAGTGGGCGTTGAGTGTAGCTGCTGATTTCAGCCCGCCTACACCTGAACAAGTCTCGAGAAATGGCCATACCATTGCTTTTTTAACACTCAAAAAAATAATTTCAACGAAAAACACCAAAAAAAACTTTATACTTTGTATTTTTATTTTATCATAGACACCTGTGTTACTGTTAAAAGTAGCAACTTAAAACATTAAATGCGTAAAAGTAAACACCAAAAAAAATTATTTAAACTGAAAACAATATTATAAAATTGTACGAGATAAAATTGATTTTTTAAAATATTTTTAAAGAGAGTATTTAATTGGAGTAAAACAAATTAAAAAATTTGTTGTAGTCGAGTTTTTTAAAGGACACATAGATAAAATTATACCCTCTAATCAAATTGCAATTAAAGGGTATAAACATTTCTGCCAAAGAGCCTATCATTCAATGGAAAAAAAATAAAAGTTATTTTTCCGTAAGTTAAAATCCATTTTTCTAAGTGCACCTTTATCAAAACTCGGCATCGAGAGTGGCGTGTGCGATGATCAAAGGCTTGGCACTGCTGTAATGAATGTCAGATGGTGTTTTGTTAATTTTAAATGCTGTTCCCAGCCATGAGTTGCGATGCAGGCACAGACACAGGCACACCTGCCATGAAAAAGTTTGTGTTGATTTAATTTTCATTTTTAGAATTTATGTTTGTGTTCCTGCTGCGCGTGTTTTTTGTAAGGGATTCTATAAAAATTGCCATACAGCAGACGTGCAAAATGTTTAGAAAGTTGCATGCGGTGCTGAGTTGTCTGGTTGTTTGTTCTTTTTAGCATTGTTACGCCTGTTTGCCTTTTCGCTTTTGAAGTTCCAATGTCATCCACATCACGGCGAGCAACTTGTGAAATTTTGAAGAAAATGGAAATTAAATGAACTTGAAATTCTGAGTAGCTTAGACTGGATGCCAGCACGGGAATAACAAACGTATGTAGGTGTTTTGTTTGTTCGTTTGGCGAAAACAACGCAAAATAATAGAAATTCTATTCATTCCCTTTTACAAGATATTTGTCGGAAATGTAAATAGCGAACTAAATTGCAATTCAACTGGATAACGAATTCCTTTAGCGTTAAAAAATCAACAATTCCCAAAAACCAGATCTAAACAGTTTATATTTTTTAACAAAACCACACTTTTATATTTATCTTTTCTGTAATGAAAACGTAAATAAAATAATGCATACAATGCTAATGGGATTATAAGTTACGAACTTATTAACTCCGTATAACCATTAGGACACCTACGCTGTCTGTAGCGTTTTGAATACTATATCTGGAGCCTGAAAGAAGAAATAACAGCGAAATCAATTAATAAAAATTGCAATATATTTGTGATTGCGATATCCTACCCCTATCTATTTCAATCATGTCGCCAACACATAGAAGGGCTGCCGTTTCCTCCTCTTCGCCCAAAGGTAGGGTCTGCACGGCAAATTCACCAAACTGTACAATGAATTTCTAAAAAAAAGGGGAAATGTTGAACAACTAAGAACTTGTTATACTAGTGTTACCACTTACCAGAGCATAGACCTTGGCACGCTTTTTGTTGCGAGCTTGGTGAGGCTGGAAACGCATATACCCCAGCGATGCTTTGTCTTTTGTTTTATAAAAAGCGTAGTCGATGCCATCCACCTTGCTAAAAACTAAATCATTTGCAGGAGCTGCAACGGCAAATTGGAGGCGTGGTTATAGTTAAGTAACATCCGGGATAGCATTCAACTTACAGACGCTGGCGCTTTCGTCTGTCATGCTTCCAGTGGGTTGGGCATTGCCCACGCCTCGCAGCCAGTTCATCAGACGAATGGAGGCTTCCTCCTGTTCGTCTCTGGCGGGAGTTATCGAGTAAACGAAAGGTTCCTGCTGTCCGTTCGTGGAAGGAGTTATTGCTGTTGTCTCTGGCTCTGGCTCCGCCACAGGCTCCGGTTCGGATTCTGTTTCAGACTGTACCACTTCCTCGCGCTTCCGTGGCCGCCCTCTTTTTCTAGGCCCCTCCGTAGGCACTGCTTGCACCGTCGTTTCCTCCCAAATCAGAGGGGTGACTCCAAGTGAATCGGAATTCGGCATTGCGTCAAGCCCAGTTTCGGGATTTCGTGGCGTACTGCTGCACAATGGTCCCCGGTCCACCACTGGTCCTCGTCCTCGTCCTCGGCTCACCGATGAGTTTTGCGGCAAAGTGGGTATCGACTGTGCGACACTGGTTTTCTTTGCCCTACTCGTATTCGCCTTCTTTGGCTTGGAATTTTGGCTAGGAGGCTCTAGGAAGTCACGCATGAAGCTAAATTTCCTGGGGTCCATGGTGTGGCACCAGGTATTCTGGAGTGGCACATGGCCTCGCTTCGAACGCCGAATGCCGGCTAAGAACAATAAAATAATATAAATAAAATATTTCAAGAAATCATAGTTTTTTTTTAGTTACTCACAGGTGTTGTGGTCGTTTTCATCCATTTCCACAGGAATTTTTCGAAGCTTTAACCTGTCTACTTCAGTCTTTTTTGGTTTCTTCGCTCTTGGTGCCGGTGCCGTTGGTTTCTTAAACACCACGTCAGCGTTCGATACGATCTGGGGCTGCGCCTTGGACTCTTGTTGGCTACGTTGCAGAGCTTCCAATGCTGTTCGACTTGTACTCGGCACATCGTCCTCCGAAGTGTAACCCACGGCAGATCGACTGCTGCTGGACACATCCCGTGTCTTTGGGTCAGGCGTAGGGGTGGGAGTATTTACACGAAGTGACTCCATATGCTCCGATTTCTCGATAGTCTCCTCCGCGCGAATATCATCGGCTGCCGCACGTCTGTACCCGTTTGAGCGATTCCTAGACAATCGATCCGTGGTTTCATTAGACTCCAATGGAGGTGGAACCACTTTGTCCTTCTCTGCATTTCGTTCAGTCGTCTCGGAGCGCTGAGATTTCTTGCCTTTGAACTGCGCTCTCCTGGGTTGCTCATTGTCACCATCATCCCCATCGTTTTCTGCCGGCTCGTTCGGAGTTGTAACCTTTTCCCCCGCTTTCCCTTTAGAATTTGACAGCGAGGTTTCATCAGACTCCAATGGAGGAGGAACCACTTTGTCCGTCTTTGCATTTCGTTCAGTCGTCTCGGAGCGCTGAGATTTCTTGCCTTTGAACTGCGCTCTCCTGGGTTGCTCATTGTCACCATCATCCCCATCGTTTTCTGCCGGCTCGTTCGGAGTTGTAACCTTTTCCCCCGCTTTCCCTTTAGAATTTGACAGCGAGGTTTCATCAGACTCCAATGGAGGAGGAACCACTTTGTCCTTCTTTGCATTTCGCTCAGTCGTCTCGGAGAGCTGAGATTTCTTGCCTTTGGACTGCGATCTCCTGGTTTGCTCATTGTCACTATCATCCCCATCGTTCTCTGCTGGCTTCAGTGCTTCAGAATACTCAAGCAGATGTGTCTCCACTCTCGTCTCTTGTCCAGTGGGATTAGACTGCACAGATTTTTTTCCAGAACACCGCAAGCTCATTTGTTGCTCATCATTACACTTGTGTTCCCCGTTTTCGACGTACTCCGGTGGTTCAATATACTCGAGTGGAGGTGGAACTACTTCGTTGTCCCGCGTCCTTCTTCCACTCGAATTATATTGTAAAGATTGTTTGGTCATAGCATGCGACCTTCGAGGTGGCTCAACGTCCTCACTTTGTTCCTCGTACTCTTGTGGAGGTGAAACAAGATCCTCTTTGTTGCTCATTCGCCCAAATTTGCTTCTCATTCGTGTATTTACAACATACTGCGGCGGCGGTGGAGCAATCTCGATGGTATCATCACTCGGCTTGTCGTTGAATTCTGGAGGCGCCGACATCACCACATCATCAAAATCGAATTTTCTGCTGCGTCGCTCACATTGCATTGATTGTGAATAGCGCAGAGAAAGGGGAGGTGGCGGAACAATTTGAATGCTTCTACTAAGTCTTGGCAGCTTAACAGGGGACAAAGAATCGAAATCCTCAGCATTGGAGTCCCCCTTTGTGTAGAGACTGCGTTTGCCTTCTCTTGATAGTTTACGCCGAGTCTCCATCGTACTCGAGAGTCTTAAATAGCTCTCCAGCTCTTTTGACTGCAAAACGAGAAAACGGTCTTATTTAAAACTTCCATTTCAATCATCTACAATATTCTTATTTCCTACGAACACTCACCATTGGCTGCTCCCGTCGCTGAGACCGTGATCGACGGTTCGGTATATCCTTGCTTTTACCTCGGCCGGGTTTCTTTCGGGGCAACGGCACCCACTCCACTGAATCCTCGGAATCCGTGGAGGATGGTCTATTCGGCAAACCGTCCTGCACGTCCATCATTTTCCGGCGCTCCAACTCTCGCTGAATCCTTTCCTCCAGGTTATCCTTCTCCTCCGAGCTGGGCTTCCGGTGCCCATTCAAGGGATATACCTCGTTCAACGAGTTGCGCTTGCGCAGATCCAATATCTCGTAATTGCTCATGCGAGTCAGCTCGATGGCGAACTGCTCGCCATTGATGGGGGCACTGGGTGCCTTGTTCAGCTGCACATTCGTCTTTCGGGCCCTTGACTTCTTGGCATTGGCATTGACCGAACGGTGGAGGTTTAGCAGTCGCATGGAACTTTCCTGTGCTTCGGCAGTACCGCGATCTCGATAATAGCTACGTAGGCGACGCTGGCGGGTTGTGTTACCGCCCGGCGGTGCTAGATTCAGTGCCACAGTGCTGGGCTGCTCATCGCTGTCGTCGTCTGTCATTATGGCGTCTACATTTTCTACCATACGCGGAGTTAAGCCATTGGGTTTGGGAGAAGGAACAGCTGCGGAACGCTTTGGAGAAGAAACAGCTGCGGGACGCTTATCAGAAGATGCCGGTATTGAAGACGCCGCGGCAACTGGCGATGCTGGCAACGATCCAGCCTGCAAGGAATCCCTCCTGACACTCAGATTCGAATTGGCTGCGTTTATCACCACAATTGGACTGCTGACACTCCGCGACAGAGTCTGCACCAGCTCTCCCAGATCCTGCGGCTGAGTTTCCGGCACCACAAAGTCCGGCTGTGGCTGCGATTGCCAGGCAGGCTCGTGACTGGGCGGTGGTGGCGTGTTGGGCACCACAATCTCTTGGTGGGTTTTCTTTAGCTTTACAACGCAGTTGCGTTGTGAGGGCGACAGCAGCAGCTGACCCGGAGCTGGTCCTTTTTCCATGGTGTAGGTGCGTTGTAGCGCCACAGATGGTGAGGGCGGTGTGTCCGGTCTTGAATAAGGTGCCCGACCACTGTAGTCCAGTTGCAAGACATTGTTGTGAAAAGAGGACTGCCTCTCCTTGCAGATTTGTGCAATTTCATTGGCAAGACTAGAGGTCCTGGCAGGCGACTTCACCTCGGGCTGGAGGTGTTTCTCCACTGGCTGCTCGGCTTGATTCGTTGTTGGTTCCACCGTCTGTTTGCCTGACAAATCTTTAGCTATTTCTTCCGCTGGCTTTTCAGCTTTCTCGTTTGGTTTTTCTGCGCAGGGTGTACTGCTTACTCCCGGCATCTTAAATAGCACAATAAATAACATTAGGTACAGGTAATTCGTCAGATGCAAACAAACTTACAAAGTTTACGGGACTGGAGAAGCTGCGGGTTAAATTGCTGGCTTCGTCAAATTCCGGGAGCAGTTGGCGTCCACAGCTCCGCGACCGCCGGCGTATGGCATGACGACGTAGTTTGTCCGAGCCTGGTACATTTCCACTGCGCCGCAGGGAATGCCGATGAACGGGTGACAAAGTGGGAGATTTTTCATGGGGCTGATTCTCACTGGATGCCTGGTCCACAGGCGGCTTATTGGCTTGTTCGGGGACGGAACTGGGCAACTCTCGCAAGGGATGTTTTTGTGTTTCTGGTGTTTTGGGCTTGGGCTTGGGCTTCTTGATCAGCGGCACCTCAAAGTCGACGTTAAAGTCGACCTTGAAGTTGCCGAAGAGGTTCTCGTTTTGGGGTGCCTTGTTCTCCGCCAGCTTGCGCATCATAAAGGCGGCCATGCGCTCCTTATCCTTCACCGGCTGGCTGAGGATGTCGTCCAGCTCCAAGGTGTCATCATTCTGCTTCGGCTTCGACCTAAACAAACAAGATTACGGTTAGCTTCACACTAATTTGGTGTCCCCAATAACTCGATCAAAAACCATTCTTGCAATCTTACATCTTTGCAGTGTTGATTTGGTTAATTTTTCTGACGGTCGTCACATAGGCTACTACAATTAAACCCAACAAAATTGGTAAATTTTGCACACAACTTAAAATTACACAAAAGACGCGACGCTATTCTATTGGAGTTGCCAGAAACCTTTGAAGACGCGCCTAAACCAGGTGTTGCCAGACTAATGGACTGAACAGGGTTGACAGCCATTCAAAAAGTAGCCGAAAATAGCTAAAACTTAATTAACAGACATTAAAGTTATTTTTTCATGTGTTGATTCAATTTTATTAATAATCAAATAAATAATAAACAATTTAATTGCGTAAATATTTTTTAATTGAAAAACAGTTTAAACATGATCGCCCCATCAAGCATTAATTAATAAATAATTTGTTAATTGCGAATTGAAGTTTGCTTAAAGGAGGTTTTAGCGCTAAAATAAATTCATTGCCAATATCATGACATGCAAGTTTTTCAATAAATCCTTGAAAACAATTAAATATTCGATTTTCTTGCAGCCTTGGTAGTTACCCTTTTTTTGACGTGTTAAGACAAGCCAAATAATTTGAGAAAGCAAAATATAAAAATAAACGACGCCAGATTTAAATTTGGTATTGGAATGGTGGCTGATACGCGTCGTTTTTCCCGCCATTTCGCTTGCAAGTTCAAATCCAACAACACCAAAGATGAAATTTTCTTATTCTTTTAGCCAGGGCTTGACAAACGTTCATCGATAGATCCAAGACGTCTGGCAACGCTCTGCACATTTCTAATATTTTTTCCGTTAATCTGAGTACCGAGGGCCAAAAAATGCACTGTCGAAAAGTGTTCGCCGGTTATTTGCCTCTCGTTCTCTCACATAGGCGGCGAACAGTTTTCGCCGATCTAAGTACTAGGCTTTAGGTGTAAATCGGTGTTCTGCGGGATTATTTAGGGGACAAGCTGTTTTTTCATCTGGCAACAGTGGTGTATTTATCGTTCTTATTTTATGCCGACAGTTAGTTGTTTGTTGACAAAACATGTTGGAAGCTATTCTGACCGATTTGCCAGCTATTAAAGCTCCCGAATTGAGTTTTGAACAGCTTAAGATGGTCCTGAAGCGCCTGCGTCCACTGCAGCGCTACAGTTTCTGTGTGGAAGCTTGCGAAGAAGGCGATGCGGACAAGGTGCGAGATAAAGATTTGTTTTGATAAACATTAAGAAACTTGATTTGTAAATAAAGCTGCGCGCCGGATTTCTGAAGCTGCTGAAAGGATACCTGAGCTTGGAGGAGGTGGTGGCCTTGTACTCTGCATCCGTGGGTTTGTTCCTGTTGGCGGAGGACGAGTGCGAAAAACCATGTAACCAGCGATTAGAGCTACTAAACGAGACCTTCGGCTATTCGGACACACTGAAGCCCACGATGATCCACTATGCCACTGTGGAGATGCTCAGTAGCTTAAGGCTGGCCAGCAGCGACGAGGAGCACTGCTTTGTCTACCTGCTGGAGGCGCTTCCCCACATCCTTGTGGCCAGCGACACCGGCAAAATGATCTCCCTCGGGCTGCTCCGCGCGCTAATAGCCACCATATCTGGTTGCCAAATCATCCTGCACATCTATCGCAGCGTTAGTCGACTAGTTTAGTTAAAACTCTGCTAATTTATGGTAATTTAAGGTGTGGGAGACCTGGGAAATGTTGAACCAAATCAGCCATAACACCATCCTGCTGGACTGGTCGCTGCGCAGGACTTACATCTTTGTGAAGGCCTTCGCCATGCTCATCGCCACCGCCGCCTTCAACTCGTGTAATGCGGAACTCAAGCAGGCAGGTTACAGGGGCTTCGATCTGCCACCCAAACCAATGGAGATTGCCGAGTGGTTCAAGACGCTGCGGGATCGGTTAGAGGAGAAGCACAGGGAACTGAAGTGTTTGGAGGGAATCATGGTAAGAATGCTCATAAAACCTACACTTAGTAGATAAAAAACTAAAAAAGGGTTGTCCTCAACTTAGAAATTAAATATCTTCTATATAATATTTTCCTACTTTCAGCTGGTGCGCTTTATGGACCACAATATACTGGCCTATCTGACGGATACGGGTAATGAGTCCACCTCCGAGGCGGGAAATGAGGCAGCCTCAGAGGCGGCAAACGATAAACTTTAAGAGAGTGTTATTTATTAAAGTGTAATATAGATAGGTATTCGAATGTTTAAGTTAGCACATAAAGCCCAGGCTAGAGATTCGACTTGCTCATTTGAACTTCTTGCCGCCCTTCCTCGCCGCAGGGGCATCCACGGTTGGCACCTGCACGGAATAGTACTTGGTGGAGATCCTGTTGAGGAAGTAGAGACCCACCAAGGAGAAGAGGACGCTGGTGGTGGCGCAAACGCGATGCACGATTCCCGCGGCGGCCACCGTGAGGGAGAGGCAGAAGAGGATCTCGGGCAGCAGCTTGGCCTGGAAGTCCTGGCCGAAGATTATCATCTCCGCGTTGGAGACGCACGTGAGGCTCAGGATGAACAGCCAGGAGAAGAGGTACCCGCCCAATAAGACCTTCAGCTGCGAATCGTTGAACCAGTCGGCGCAGAAACGTAGTGTGGCGAATAGGACCAGGCTGAGAAGGCCCGAAATGATGGAGGACACCAGGGTGCTTTTGCTGCTCATCGAGGCGGCTGTAATGGTTCGGTTTTTGATTTCAGATGGCCGCAATTTGGCTCCATTTGCTTACACATATTTTTTTCTTCTACCAGCCGGCGTCTTTGTTGTACGTGTAAAACTGCTGCCATTCACATGTCGGCGCGCAGCCGGTTAGTGTTTAGGGCTGTCAGGTGTTTTCGATTTTGTTAAAACTGATATAGGGACTTCACTTTTTTGTACGAAAAATCATTTTCTGCTCAACAACTGAATGGTAAAAAGTATTAAAAGAAATTTTTTTAATATAAGTTATTGAAATAAGGGAGAAAACAATCCTATCAATAGCATAGGTTATTAAACTTCGTTCAGGTTTAATTGAAGTTGTAACCGTACTATGAAAAATGTAAAATACATATATGCTTTCACATTAAAAACGACGAATATTTTTAGAATCAATGGTACGTATAATGTATTTAATATTAATAAATAGTAAATTGTTTTTTTGTATCTTACCGATATCTTTAAACAAGTGATATATCGATACTTTTATGCGATAAATCACCACCAACTGATGTGGCAACTCTGCAGATTCCGTGGTGAATGGTCAGCGAAGTAATAACATTGCATTTGAGTACTTTTTTAATAAATTGTAAATAAAAGACACCTCGAATATGTCATCCCTGTTGCAATTGGCCACCAGGTCACTCCGGAGCTCCATGATACAAGTGCGCAGCGTGACCACAACATCTCCCAGACAAATAAAAGAAAGTTAGTACCACCGACCACTGGTGAGCTGTTTCATAACCTTTCAAAAGAGAGAATTTTTTGATAAATAATGAGTAAAATATTGCTTTGCAGTTCAGGAAAAGCAGGAAAACAATGTGAAGATCTTTGAGGGCGTTAATGTGGAATCACCGAGAGCCAAGCTAATGCTTAACTCCGCCTGTCAGAGCACCTTCTGTCCAGAGTGCACTTTGGGCCTGGACATTAAGCACACGGATGTCTTAATCCTGTCGCAGTACGTTCGATCGGATGGCTGCATGCTGCCCAGAAGGATCACCGGACTGTGCCACCGGCAGCAGAAGAAGTTGGGCACCTTGGTGACCATGGCCCAGAAGGCGGGACTGATGCCCAACTTGGCACCCGCGTGGAGCAAAAAGGATCCCAAAAAGCGCTTTGGCTGGCGCAAATTCAACAAGTACTTCCTGGAGTCTACAATTAAATACTAGCTAGTGTTAAATGGCAATAAATGTGTTAATAGAAGTACTCTGTCAGCTGATTTTGATTATGATTGGTTCAAATAACATAACTGGGTAGTAAACAAATACATTTGAGTTATCCTTCCACCAAAAAATAACTAAGTACTAAAAAAACAATACAAGTTCATCAAATCACAATCAGTTAAACATTTTACGATCGAATATTATGCATCCCTCTTGCCTGTATTTTTTAACAAGCCCAGTTTGGTCACATTTTCTTGGCGTCGGCTTTGAATTTCTCGCTCCCACGATTTTTCAAAAAATACTTATAAAATGAGTTTTTTAAGTAATAGCGGCACGGTTCACGTGGAAGTTCGCCTCAAATGGAAAGATATGTGAGTATAATCTTTCAATAAAGTGGAATACTAATTAAATAAACCCTTTTTTTAGACACTTTGCGACAATTCGCGCCGATTTGGAGAAGGCCTTGAACTCCTACTTTCAATCGGCCGCACATCTGCCAATGAATGTGGCCTTCGTGCCCGAGTTGCCTCAAGATCTGGCCTCATTGGTGGGATCCGTGCTGCTGGAGCGCGACAATGGCGACGGGCGGCCGTTGCAGGCCACTGGGACCAAATTCCGCTTTCATTTCTATGACCCAAAGCCGACGGAGGCGAGCTTGGGCTCCGGAATCCTGGATGTAAGCGGCAGTGGAGACGCAGATGGAACCGCTGGCGTCATGGCCGCCAGTCATGTCCTCCTGCCCGCCAACCAGCTTGTGGGTCTGTGGGAGAACCTCATCTACGAGGTCGGATTGAAGGAGAAGGTGAGAGGCCACCCCAAACCCGTTTAACATACATATAATGATCGTCTGGCGATGTACCCGCATTTTACCCGATTATTCCCATTGTAGATATAGGATTTTTATATTGATATGCGAAAGAGAAGGTCATGGCCATCTAGTCTTGCCCTGCACCACTGTTATAAAGTATATTAGCAATCACCATCTAATGTTTAGTATCCTGCCAACTTACCTGCAAAGCAAACCCTTCTCACACCTTTAATTTTGCTTTCAGCTCCTGAAGTTCGCCATGTCGGCCCTGACTTTCTCACAGCACCGCGTGGACATCAATGTGATTGCCTGCAACCGGCTGCTGCTGCTCCATGGACCACCTGGAACCGGAAAGACGAGTATGTGCCGGGCCCTGGCCCAGAAGCTGGCCATTCGTACCCAGGGAAGCTATGCGTACACCCACCTGGTGGAGATTAACAGCCACAGCCTGTTCTCCAAGTGGTTCTCGGAGAGCGGCAAGCTGGTGGCGCGCCTATTCGGAAAAATCAGTGAGCTGGTTGCGGACCCCAAAAATCTAGTTTGCGTGCTGATTGACGAAGTGGAGTCGCTGGCCTACGCCAGGAGCGCCATGTCCAGTACTGAACCCAAGGATGCCATGCGTGTGGTGAACGCGGTGCTGACCCAGTTGGACGACATCAAGACCTGTCCCAACGTGCTCATCCTAGCCACCTCCAACCTGGCGCAGAGCATTGATATGGCCTTACTGGACCGCGCCGATATCCGTCAATACATTGGGTACCCGGACATGGCTGCCATTCGGGCCATTTACAAGACAATGCTGGCCGAGCTCATGTCGGCTGGAATGGTGCAACGTGAGGCTTTGGAGACGGAGGACGCCGAGGAGGGGCTGCTGACCCAATTGGCGCTGCAGAGCGTCGGGCTTAGTGGCCGCAGGCTGCGGAAGCTGCCTCTTCTGGCCCATGCCCAGTACACTAGCAGCGATCTCTTCGAGGTGGATCAGAAGATCAGCCTGTCGGACTTCCTGGACGCCATGATGATGGCCTTGGAACAGCATTTGAGCGAGCAGCGACTGCTGAAACTGGAGTCCTTGGAGGAAATCTGAAAAAAAACTGCCAAGCAGACATGAACAAAAAAATGAACTTTCTACACCTACACTCTATGTCCATCAAATGCGATACATTGTAAACTTCAATTTGCTGCTATGAAAAACAATCCGAGGCTGAGGCACGGGTCCAATCCCCATTCTGTTTACTGCTTCGTTTCATTTGCACACGACACAGAGATTTTTCCATTTCTTTATCCGGCTTTTGATGTGAAAATCAAGCGTGAAATTTTGTTATTTGCTTGCAAGCTCCTACATCAACTCTGCTCCATCCGCCCTCCACATCCACATCGATATGCAGACAACGGACCCTACGCAATCTCAGCACTTTTGCCTTGCCTGTCCTTCACATTCGAGTGCAGGAGTACTCGTCTCTCAAGTCCGGCACACATCGAAGCCATCGGATGCTGATGCAGAAGGATGGGGTCAGCTTGGTGGCCAGGGACACCAAGTTATTGCACGGCCAAGTGAGGACTAATCAAATTTTTTGACGATTTGATTTTATGTTGATCCTGCTTGTTGATCCGTATCATCCATTTGGAAACCACTCAGACTCAGTCAGTTGCAGTCGTAGCTTTAGCTTAGTGGGATATTCTTTGCTATTATTTGATTTAAATAGGGTTTGTTAAGCTTAATTAGAGACAATAGGTATAACTTTTTACCTTTGTTTGCAGCATTTAAATTTGCTTAAAAGTATACAAATGGTTGAAGAAAGACTTAATTTAATTACGAAATGGACCAAAATGACAAGGGATAATTTTTATAATCCAAATTTTAAATGTGAGCTTACATTTCCTTGATTGAAGTGAGTATAAAGCTTAAGGCTTAAAGCTAACTATGTTCAATGTGAGCGTAAATATTATTGTTGGGTGGTCTTAATTAAATCAGGACAAATACCCATCATTGGACTCTCGAAATGGGGGAAGAGGTCAGGAGGACAGGTGGTGGCAATAAACCGAAAGACAGTTAAAATAGACAAGTAGCAGGGGGGTGCCATCGAATTATGTGAACGGATAGCTGCAAGGCTAATAAAATGTAGATGTGGCTCCGGAATATGGGAGTGCGATAAAACAGATTCCTGTTGATGAAAATGTGATGCTGTGCTCATGTGTGATTCCACCCATTGTCCTCCTGCCGGGACATATAAAATATATGGGGTTTATTAGCCACACGGTTGCTGATCCGCTTCAGTATCTAAGTGGGTAACAGCAAAAGGAACTTAAAGAGCGTTATATACTATTTTATATGGCTTTCTATACACCTATACCCATATATGTATACTTCTCATATAATCCAGATACCATCGTTTTAGACTAGTGAATCTTTAAGTTTGTTTTTGACATGTTGAAACTATTTTTGGTAATATTTTTTGTACACAATTTGGAGTATTTTTTTAAACGTATCAGCGAGGCGAGAAAAGTTTCCAACTCATCTGGCATTTTTCTGTTGATTTTAACGTTTTATGGTACAGCGCGTTATTTGTCTGTTGCAGTCGTGTGTTACAACTATTATTTATTGTTTAACGTTTTTATTTCAGCAGCGAGGACTACGATTCCCAGCTATGGAAGGTCTTTGTATGGAGCATCCAGTGAGTTTTGCACGGCAATATTGCCTTGGTCGATTGCTGGTATTGTCTGTGCAAACAATTGAATAGATGTACCTTGTACAAATATTCAAAATCATTTCCGCTCTAAAGACATGCAGGATATCAGCAGGTAAGAAGTGATTAAAACTTTAAATAGTACAAATAAATTAAATATGTACCAGACATTTTAAAAAAAATCCAAGAATTACCTCAAAGACATTCTGTTCGGTAAACTGGCCTTTATTATGGAAAATCGGATAGATTTCACTGGCATAAATTGCTTAAAAAAACGATGCTGTATTTTCATTGGCTTGCAGCACCAAAAACGCTGCATCCTTTTGGATCCCCCCGCCCCCCGGAAAGTTCCCCCCGGCACAATCATGCAGAAGCATGGAAAATTGAACCATTGATGGTTACGTTTATTTATGTTTTCCTTGCTCTGTGTGAGTGTATGTGCGAAGCCTGTAAGCAGCATTTTGCAATTGCATTTTAGCAATATGGAACATTTTTCCCCACCACGAATTCCCATTGTTATCCAATGCGGCTGCTGTCGATACTGTTGTTGCTCCTGTTTTTGTTGCTTGGGAGCAATTGTTTCTTGTTTATTGTTTGGATTTGTAAGCTTACCGTATTGCGGCGTCAGGAAATTTAAATTTTCATCTCAAAACATGCTTTAAAATTGGCCTAACGTCTGTCTGGAATGGGTAAACTAAATCGAAAAGCATTTGCTTATTTACATTTGCACAAACACCCCAGCTTACAATAGGATTGAGAATTTCTGGTTGTTTTAAGTCTCGATTAATATTTCACTCGGGTATAAATTGCTGTTTGTAAGGCAATTCATTTTGGGCAACTCATTTGTGAGTAAATAAAAATCTCTTAAATTTTGGATCCTTTACTGAAAAAAAAGTTAAGCTGTTAAAGAACCTTTTCGATTTCGTAGTTTATTTTGATCGTCCTACATAGGATATAAATATATATGTATATATATTTTGAAAACTTTTTTTTCAAAATCAGTTTAAATATTAAATTAATTATTTATTGATTAAATATTATTATAAATTATTCTTTTCGTTATTTTATTGATTTAAAAGAATTTTAAACAATAAAAGCAAATTCCGCATCTTTTAAATTTCTGTACTGTTCGTAGCCGTTTCAAAACGTTGAAGTTCGATGCAGTATAGATTTAATTTACATTTTTTGCGGTGGGCGCTGGCGCCTGTCGATGTCGACATGGCAAAGCTTTTCTAAAGCCACCATTTTCCTCTTTTGGCCATCCGCCGTTTTTGCCCACAAAGTGCAGCCGTTGCGAAAATATTCGCGGGTCAGGGCAACAAACTTGAAATTGTTTCGTTATTGAAAAGGGACCGTTAATTATGTATATTTGGCCAAGAATTTTCTTTGCCAACTTTCGGCCAAAATAAATAGGGAAATATGGCTAAAAGCCCGAGCCAGCCGCACAATATCCGAAAAGGGATAACAACAAGATAGTCTTAAATTTAATTTCAGCAGCCACCGATACGCGGTTTCAATATTTTGTAAGTTAACTTTTGTATAGAAAGTTGGGCGGCAGTGGGGAAGATTCAATCCGATGCCAGGGAAACTCCAGAGAAATGTCAACAGACTAAACTCACTTCGTTCACAGCAAGTACATAACTTTAGTATTAGTTTCTATTTTCGATCCATGACAACCACCGTCATCTAAACTAAGTGAACCCAAGGAGAAAGCACTAAAATACGCATGTTCCTCTTTAAGGGAATGTTCTGAAAACTATCTTAAATGAATTCTAAAAAACTATTTTTGAAAAAAAAATCGTTTTGATTAATAATACAACTCTTTGCACAATCGAAAAACTGACTTTTGAAACCGTTCTCGTTTTTTAAAATTTGGCGATTCCAAAAGTGTGGAAAAGAGAAAATGGAAACTTATTTCTTGCTAATCAAATAACACAATTTAAGCAGTACAACCAGTTATAAAAACTAAAAATATCTTAAGATTTTACAATTAAATGATGAATTTTAGTTTTGACTAAATTTTGACAGTTATAAAACCGGGAACTAGTTTAATTCGCGTTTGCATTTGTTTGTCGGCGATTGTGTGTGCGTGTGTTTGTTATTTATGCTTAGAACGTGACTGGAAATATGAAATGCAGCAAATGTGTTTACTTAAATGAAGTGAGTGAAAATTGACAAATACACACACAGGCACACCCACAAGACGACTAAAATGCAGTGCCAGGGCGGCTGGAAAAGGAGGCGTGCCCGGGTCACATCCGACTAGCGAGCTTAGGGCACATGAGAAATACGCCAAAAATGGCAATGACGCTAATCCCTTGGCGGGCGCAACTCGCACACATACGCGTTCACAAGTACAGTGGGCACTCGCACACATACTTTTCCAGCAATTTTATTTTTCCACAAGTGCACCAACCAGTAACCATAACTTGACTTATTGGAACCCGATCAATCGTTAAAATTTCAATTCATCTTCATTAAAAGTTTTGATTTTATTTTGAGAAATTAAAGCTTCTGTAAAAATTTTTATTCTTAATTAAAGTTTAAAAGTCTTATTTGTATGCCAAATATTTTAAAGTTTCAAAATTGTTCAAGAAAACTAACTTAAGGATTTCATAGCATGTTTCTTGTTTAAAGTGGTAAATTTGTTAACCTATTCCAATGTGGAGAGGAGGGACTGTGACGTACAATTGAACCAACGCACATTGTGCGGAAATATGTCAAATTCAATAACAGCCAAAGTGACGTTCTTCCTTATCCGCACCCCTTGGAACCCCTTGTCCAGGATGAATCTGACGAGGAAGACGGAGCAGCCACTGTGGCGCCAAACCCTGGACAATGGCAGCCAACTTCATTCCACTTTTTGGCCCCTTGATGTCCTGCAGCATACCCATCCCATTGGCTCTATAAAATGTACGATTTTTCTTCATTTGATGAAACGAAATACAATTTCTCAACGAGCGACGCAACTGAACGCAAAAAAAGTTGGTTGCAATTGCAATTTTCTTGCCAAATCAGCGCACGCTGCTTGGTATATTGACATTTTTAAAAGCCAATATTTCTCCAACTTGCAGACCCTTTGCGTTCTTCACCCACGGCGGAGAAATACACACAAAGTACGCCCAAACTTGGTTTCACGAATTAATTTATTTGACTTTGGCAATGTATAAATATAAATGGAATGAGGCCCTCACAAACGAAAAAACCAAAAATAAAAGCAGGCCCAATATAGGGAGCTTTTAAACTTTAAATATTATATATATTTAAAGAATTTCCTTTTTCTCATTCTACCCTCTTACCATTATTTAAGCGATTTTTTTAAGCATTTTAAAATCGGTCGGGGTATGCATTGGGCGTTTGCTTTGCCTACTAATTAGCCGAGGTGTGTGGGTCATTCCACCTTTGTGTCGCTGCAATTACTCTGATTAATGGCGGTTTGGCACCCACTAAGAATGCCTGCGGTTGGCCACCCATTCAGTACCCTTTTAACTATTTGCCGCAGAGTGTGAATGAGGGACCAGTGAACTGGGAATGACAGTC